GAAGAGGAGGAGGAGAAAGGGGAGGAAGCAAAACAAGTTTTCTTCTGCCATTCTCCTTTGTTTTGCCAAATCTCCATGGCTCCATCTTTCCTGTCAAAACCAGCTCTTTCACACAAATTTGCCAATTTACTTCTTTCTGAAGGCTAACTTCCTTGTTTCTGATGTCTATACCAAAGATCCCTCCTCTGACCAGTACTTTTGACTCAGTAACATTTATAAATCCTTCAAGGCGATGTCCTTAAGTAAATGCGGTAGTAGTGGTGAAGGAGGGTCTAGAAAGTAGAAATGTTGTGTGCTAGTGTGTGTTCATATGGGTTGGGGGCATATGCACATCATATGTGAATGCACATGTGGGCAAGGGTGGGTGTGTGAGAGTGTGCATGAGTGCACCTGAGTGTGGAGAGCCTGGGTGTTGTTCCTTGGGTACTGTCCACTTTGGTTTTTTTTTTTTTTTGAGACTTTGGGTCTCTCATGGCTGATTGGCTAGGGCCTCATATACTTTTGAGCACTTTACCTGTCTTCCCAGCCCCAGAAATTAATTCTTGTGAAGTAAACAAACTAGCCAAACATGGTAGCACATGTATCTAATCCCACACTCAGGAGGTTGAAACAGGAGGATGGCCATGAGTACAAGGCCAGCCTGACCTACATGAAGTGTTTCAGTCTATCTGAGTTACATAGTAAGAACTTGTCTGAGAGAATCAAAGATAAAAAGGATAGCCATCTGTAGCAGCATATACCTATAACTGAAAGGGTATATGGCGCTCGTTAGGTCGGCGGCGGAAGAGTCACAAGTGAAGAGTCACGAGCCGTGGTTACCAGAGTTAGAATAGGCTTTGTAGAGAGAAGAGGGGGTAGGACAGAGAGAGAAAGAGAGAGAGAGAGAGAGACAGAGACAGAGACAGAGACAGAGACAGAGATATGCAGAGAAAGAGAGAGACAGAGACAGACCAAGAGCAGAGAGAGAGAGAGAGAGAGAGAGAGAGAGAGAGAGAGACAGAGACAGAGAGATATGCAGAGAAAGAGAGAGACAGAGAGAGAACCAAGAGCAGAGAGAGACTCACAGAAAGACCGCGCAAGAGAGCGTGGAGAGAGTGCAAAGAGAGAGTATGGGGCACATGTCCGGCTTTCAGGCTGGGATACAGTCACCCGCTGATGACATAATAAGGCGCCAGAGAAGCTGCTCGTATACAGAACCCTTACAATAACCCCAGCACTTGGAAGGCTGAGACAGAGGAATCAAGGGTTGGAAACCAGCCTGGGATACAGAGAAACTGCATCAAAACTTTATCAATTTAATTAAAAACAACAATCAAATACCTGTTACAGTTAAAATCAAAGCTATCTCTTTGGAAAGATGTCAGCATGTCCAAAGAAATAAGAGAAAGATCCATGATGTTGATGACTGTGTGCCCCCACCTCTACCTGGGTACTCTTGAGGAGTGAGGGATAAGAGATTTAGATACAAATATAGACGGGAGAGAGAAAGACAGAAACGCAGGATAGCCTTATTAGGGCCTAGATCCTTATCTACTAGCCCAGAACTTGATTCAAAAGGCCTTTTTATAACAATGCCAAGGGGAGGGGCAAAAGACCATCCCCTTGCTCAATACAACCAAGTGTAGACCCTTCCAAACACCTGGTACCCAGGCCTGTGGTCCATTCATCCTCTTAAGCAGTCCTGCTGGGTAAAGCAAGCTCAGATCTCATTAGGAAACTTCTATGGCCACCAATAGCTGTGACTGAGTTAACTTGGACAGTGTCCCCTCAACCTCATGTAGAATCTGTCACCCCCACTAGCCAGAGTCCATCCTACTCCTGTGGTCCAATGCTCCAGGATCTGTCTGGTAGACATGCTTTCTCCAGGAGCCAGCTTGATGGCCATGTTGCTAACCTCCCACAGCAAATGACCCGCAGACCTTTTCCATAAATACACTTGAGTTCAGTCTAACCTCCCTGCTGTTACTGGGGTCCCCAAGGTCACTTGGGCTCACTGAGTCACCAGGACTCACAGAGCAGAGCTGTCTTCCCAACAGCTGTGATTTCCTGCAGAGAAGCATGTCATTTCCCTGTCCCCATGATGATGTGAGTTTATGTGACACAGGGACCCTCAGAGCTGAGAGTGTTAGGGCCACCATGTGGTTTCCTGCCACCTACAGTGGACTGGAGGCATCTTCAGTCTGGGCGGGAGGGAAGGGTGAGCTGACTCACTTTTCCTAAGAACAAGAAATAAACTTGTGTGGTTGTGGCAGTCTAGAGTTGACGGTTTTGCTTTGGCAACAACTGTGGTAGAAGCCAGGGAATCCAAGCTATGTCCACAGGCAGTTCAGAATGGGGATGGTGAGAATCCATGTCTGGGAGCAGCCAAAGCTATGACTCCTCCTTCCAACTCTTCTCTTCCTTCCAAGAGAAGCAGGTGGAGCAACCCTCACTCTTGCACTCTGTGAGGAGAGCAAGGCTCCCAGAGACAGGGTCAGCTCCTGAGCCACACTCTCTTAGCTCATGGAAGTAGCCTGGCCAATCACTGGACGGTAGCTACGCAGGAAAGGCCTGGCTCCCCAAGGCACATCTATCAATGCAACTGTAACCTGTGCAGGATCAAGAGGGGACATGGCTTATCACACACATGCATGCATTGTCGTGTGTATATCATACCATAGACATGTGAACCTTCCTGACATTGCTACACATGCCACACACATGTATGCAGCACAGTGTACTTGTGATACATACCTGCAGGGCATAGTGCACACACTACACATGATACATATATATTGCAAATATTATATGTGTATATTCCATATCTCACACAGCTATGCACCATACACGTGCTACACATGCTACACACATGATGTATATATACCACACACATCAGATGTATATATGTACACCATTCTTTACACAGTAGAATATACCACACACATACCTTGCCAATGATCCTGTTTCTCAGACAGTCAGGGTGCGTTAATAGGGGTGACTGTGATGGCCAAGGTTGTAACAATACAATATGAACAATGGCTTTGTTGCATACACAGACACACACGTACACATACACACTTTCTCACACATAGCCATACACCGCACTCAAAAACACATATGTACCAGTGCTGTGGGATATTGCTTTTGTACACTGGTTTAATAAAACGTTGAATGGCCAGTAGCCAGGCAGGAAGTATAGGTGGGATAAGCAGATAAGGAGAATTCTAGGAAGAGAAAGACTGAGTCAGGAGACAACAGGCCTCTCTCCAGGGAGCAGCATGTAATGGCACACAGGTAAATCCATGGAAAATGTGGCGACATATAGATGAACAGAAATGGGCTGAGTTTAAGTGTAAGAGATACTCAGTAGAGAGCCTGAGCTAATGGCTGAGCAATTTTAATTAATATAAATCTCTGTGTGTTTACTTGGGTCTGAGCGGCTGCAGACTGGGTAGGACACAGGAAAACTTCAGCTACATAGGAGCCCTGAGAGTCCAAGTATGTGTTATGGTGACCCCTGAGAGTACAGGTGCACACGTGTTACAGTGACCCCTGAGAGTACAGGTGCACACGTGTTACAGTGACCCCTGAGAGTACAGGTGCACACGTGTTACAGTGACCCCTGAGAGCACAGTGCAAGTTACAGTGACCCCTGAGAGTACAGGTGCGTGTTACAGTGACCCCTGAGAGTACAGATGTGTGTCACAGTGACCCCTGAGAGTACAGGTGCACACATGTTACAGTGACCCCTGAGAGTACAGGTGCGTGTCACAGTGACCCCTGAGAGTACAGGTGCACACGTGTTACAGTGACCCCTGAGAGCACAGGTGTGTGTTACGGCGTCCAGCTTGACGTGGATTCTGGGGATCTGAACTCTAGTCATTACCTGTGCAGAGTGAGCACTTTACCTCTGAGCCATCTCTCCAGCCCGTGGAGGTCCCTGAGACACCAGGCTCCTTGAAGTGATCTTGGGGCTTCTAAGTGGCCATAAGAGGGCCACAGGGAGGAATCCAGATCCTACATAGAACTCCTGTTACAACATTGTGTTTACAAATTTCTATATAACGCTAAGATTTTCTTGTGTGTGCAGGTTCCTCATCTGTCCAAGCTTATCTAACTAACGCAGCTCTTGTAGAGTGACTCAACATCAACATGAGGTACAGCTGGCGGCTCAGCCGTGGCCGTCACCGACACTTCTGAGCCCCTAGTCCTCACTCAAGTCTTCAGCACAAAGGGAATGTGGCTTTGTGTTGTGTTGGGTACACTGATTTGCCACAGAGGAGGTTTTGTGACTCCACCTTGAATGTGACTCCCTGTTACCACACTCCTCAAGTCTGGGCCAGAGTTTAAGAAGTAGTCATGGTGTCTCTTCACAGCACTAGAGTAGTGACTAAGACACCAAGCAGAGACTATGGCATTGGAGTCCCCAAGTGAATGCACAAGGCTGAGTATTTGCTCTGGTTGAGCTGGTATTGAGTTGAGCATAAAGAAACAAAGGACACAGACAAAATTCAGACAGACACCCTGAAGATGTATATGTGAGAGGCAAGAACTGGAGAAAGTGATACAATGAAAAAATTCTGCCTTATCTGTTAATAGGGATTGGAAATCAGTGGAATACGTATGATTGCCCAGAGGAGAGCCCCAGGCCAATGAAGAGCAAGTACCAGTGTCCCCCATGAATGTCACCACAGCCTCTAGATACTGACATATATCAGAGAGGTACAGATGCCTCTAAGGTTAGGTGCATCACTGGGCTCTAAGAAACATTCTCTTGCCTTCTTCCCCTACATGAGAGGGAAATGGACCTCCAGCATTAGGAACTGGATTATCAGAAAGGAGAGACCTGAGTTATTCTTCATTCTCCCTCCCAACACCCAACACCCACCCAAAACAATGACAACAGGACCATGTCTAGATATGGGGCCAGGAGACATACAAACACAGAGTCATCAGGTAGAGTGGCTGATGTCCATACTTTCAGCACTCAAGGAATGGAGCATTTCTGTCAGTTCAAGTTCAGCTTGAAATAATGCATTCCAGCCCATCCTGGGTTGCAGTGTGAGACACTGTCTCAAATAAACAAGGTCTGACACATATCTCAGTTGGTAGAGTGCTTGTCTAGCATGCATGAAGCCCTGGGTTCAATTCTGAGCACAGAATAAATGGCATGTGGTAGATCACACATATAAAAACGTAGATTCAGGAAGTAGAAGCAGGAGGATCAATTCTAGGTCATCCTTAGTTGTATAGAGCCTGATTGAGCTAGAGATCTGCCACAAACAAACAGAATAAGATGGAAGAGAGGAGAGAGAGCTGTGACCTACAGGTCTGTACCTTTGTGGGGACTCAGCATCAACATAAACTCTGATGAAGGTATCAGGATCACAGTGTTTGCTGGACCCGCTGTGTGAAGCCAGAAATAGTGCCAGAGACCCCATGGACTAAGAGCACTCTATGGAAGGGTAAGCTGAATTTTGGAAGGAGATGGTTCCTCTGCTCACAGGGAAGGAGCAAGAGAAGATTGACAGCCCTCACGTCCACTCAGGAAATGATGTGTCACAGAGGGTGGAGCAGCCTGAACAAAAAAGGAAATACTTTCTAGGGCTCTGCCAGGAGTGGGAAGGTTGTGAGGCCCTTAGCTGAAGGCTAGTGGACAGGTAGCACCCACAATCCATGGTCGTGGGTGTGTCCCCTCACTGGGAGTGATGGGAACCAGTGCCCCTGAGGCCTGGAGCATCTTCAGAGCACTTCCTGTACCAGTTCATCTGGAGCCTCTCAGGGGACCAGGAAGCAGAGGACAGAAAGGAGAACTCGGCATGTGAACACTGAACTGTCTAGAAGGACACGGCTCCTCCTCCTCTTGGGCTTGGTGTGGGCAGGAGACACCAGAGCTGAAGAAATGACCCCAAGAGTGATGGGAGTGTGGCTGCCTTCAGCTCTGCTCCTCTTGCAGGTCCCAGGTGAGCACGGGGATGGGGGTGTGTGTGGGGTTACAGCTCTGAAAGGGGAACTCCTGGAGTAAGTGAGAGTGCAGGACAGGGGGATGGGAGGTGGGAGAGAGCAGTCAGCAGAGGAAGATGGGGCCCATTGAAGACAAGGAGTGGGGGTGGGCAGGAGTGGCCAGCATCACCTCACAGGTGCTGTCAGGATTCAGTGCACAGTACAGTCATGACTACCACACTGAGACAGTCAGGACCTGCTGAGAGGGTTAGCTGTGACAGTCATTGCCCTGAAAGCACACAATCTCTACTGTGTACACACATGTATTTGCATACCAAATGCACATAAGCACTGATTCCTGCATAGATACATGTCACACCCACAGAAACATATGCACATATATATACATAGGTAAAGACTCCCTCCCACCAGCTGTCTCTATCTCTCTCTGTCTCTCTGTCTCTGTCTCTGTCTCTCTCTCTCTCTTACAGACACACACACACACACACACACACACACACACACGAACACACACAGTGTTGTTTCCTACTGGGCCCTTCCTTTCTCAAGGGACAAGCCCCCTCCCCGTCCCCTCTTCCGGACAACACAGGTACTCACCTCAGTCCTGACTCCTGGGTCTGACAAAGCCTGTCTCCTTTCTCCATGCTTCCTCCAGACCAGACAGCTCTCTAGGAGCTGACCAAGGGGGGCCTGACCCCATCCAGCTTTGAGGGTGCAGAATTGGGCCTTGTGTTTTCCAGACTGTGTCCCTCTGCGTGGCCCCAGCAAGGTGACAGGCACTGTGGGCGAGTCCCTGAGTGTGCGGTGTCAGTACGAGGAGGAACACAAGAATAATGAGAAATTCTGGTGCAGAGTGTCACTGCGAACACCATGTAAAGAGATTGTCAAGACCAGAGCCTCAAAAGAAGCTGGGAAAGGCCGAGTGTCCATCAGGGACCGTCCAGTCAACCTCACCTTCACAGTGACCTTGGAGAACCTCACCCTGGAGGATGCAGGCACCTACAAGTGTGGGGTGGACATTCCACTTTTTGATGACAGATCCATCGTGGGAATCAATCCTTCCGTTGGGATCGATGCGTCCTTCAAGGTTGTGGTGTCCGTGGTCCCAGGTAAGCTCCCCTCATGTCAGGGCACCCTGAGTCCAGGCCTGTCATTCCCTCATGAAGGAAGGAAGGCAGATACAATAACATGGTGAGCTTGGTGAATCAGTGACTCAGGCCACAGGGGGTGTGAGTCCACGTGTACCTTTGTAAGAGCATGTGTGGTATGTGTGATAGTGTATGTACACCAATACATGTGTGTGCGTGTACACACAGGCACAATGGGGAACCTGGGTTCTTAGAAACTCTCTTTTCATTACATTTAGTTAGTTAGTTAGTTAGTTAGTTAGTTAGTTAGTTAGTTAGTTGGATAGCCCCGGTGTGTGTCAGCCAGAGAACTCGCACTCAGTTCTCTCTCCACAGTGTATCACTGGGGCTCAAACTCAGGTCATCAGGTTTGACAAGGAAGGTCTTTACCAACCAAGCTGTCTCATCAGCCACTGTTCGAGATTCTCTGTGTTTTCCATATGACAGTCTGAGGCCCAGAGACATGCCTTAGATCAGTGGCTCTTTGTGACTTTCTGTCCTCATAGGAGACAAGTCCTCTCTTCCAGGTCTCACTTGGTCCTGTCCCCATCTCATGTGGGAACAGTACCCAGCGTATCTGGTCCCCTCTTCAAAGGATGCCCTGGCCTGAAACTGAGTGGACACTTTACTTCCATGGAGGTCCTGAGGGAGCAGCCTCATCACAGTGTTTGTGGGTCTTCTGACGGGAACCAGAGACACAAAAAGGAGGGTAGATTGCGTATCGGGGTTCTTGATCCCTGAGGAATCCATTCAACTACTCCAAGTTCCCCTCCATCCCCCTTTCCCAGGAAACATTTACTACAGAAAGAAACTCAGGGATCCCCCAAAAGTTCCCCTTCCCAGGCAGAGGGTGAAGCTGGATGGAAGACAGTCTCTCAGCTCCTTTGGTCCCAATGTTCTCCATGTCTGCAGTCATTCTCCCCTAATGGAACCTCCCTTGTTACAGACTCCTAACTAGTGCAGCATCTCTTTAAGGGCCGGGTGGTGGAGGGGCTGAAGGGGCTGAACTGCTCTGTTATTCCCAGTTTTCTCTTTTCTGAGAGAGGGTCTTGTGTAGCCCAGGCTGGCCACAAACGCACTGTGTAGTTGGGGTTCATCTTGAATGACTGATCTTCCTGACTCAGCCTCTCTGGCACTGGGATTACAGGCTCCCATCGCCACACCCAGCTTCCTGTTCTGGTTCTCAGTTTTGGTTTCCCCCTCAAAAAAGCTTCCCTCCAACACTCTCTCTGAGTTCATAGTGAGGAGTATGGAACCAAATCCTGCTGGTGTTTCTAGTTCCCCTCAGTAGAGGCCACTCTCCACAGGGTCCTTCAAGCATCTGTCTTTTTAGAACTTTCCATCTGGCCATTCCTCAGGAAAGACTTCCCAGTGGCCTGTCTAGGTGACAGTGTGGGCATGAGGTGGCCAGACAGACAGAGTCCCACCACTCTATGTCATTCCCAGAAGGATGGAAGACAAGGAGGCAAAAGGTGTGACTGAGGCCAGAAGGGACCTGGAACCAAGTGTCTTGTCATTGACAATTAAACTCTCCTCTACAGGAAGACTGGCCTCAAGTTTGAAAGTGCCAACCAGCCCCAATGCACCATGGGAAAGGCTGGGAAGGGAAGAGCTGACCAGGACTTGGTGGGGCCATGGGGCTTGTAGGCTGTCACACAACTGTCCAACCTGTCCCTAGGGACCTGTGTGCAGCAGAGCTGCAGAGGTTTCAGTGGGGAGGAGATGGAGTGGAGGTCACTGGGACAGTCTGTGTTTCCATCCTTAGCTCCAGTCACAGTCTCTGTACCCAAGATCATAGCAAATATCCTGGGGTCCCCCACATCCTCACCAGTGCACACTCAGTCCAGCGTGACCACAGAGGATACAACTCCTGGTCCCAGCCTACAACCCCGGTGAGGAACCCTGAGGGCTCTGGATTGGGGTGGGGGTAATGCTGGAGGTGGAGGTAGAAGGGTTTGGATCTCCCTCCTTGGGCATCTCCTGCATCTTCCAATCACACACTGACCTGGGGAGTGTCTTGTGAACAACAGTTGCTCATTTACAGATTGGGACACAGCAATGACACCCAGACCCAGACGTGCTGAGATGGAGTTAGTTTCCTGTCAAGAGGTTACTACACAAACACACCCAGAGTCTGGGGAGATGGCTCTGCTGGTAAAGGATCTGAGTTCGAGCCTCAGCACCTACATGTCAGGCATGGTGGCATACACTTGAAATACCTGAGCTGTGGAGGTGGAGACAGGAGAATCCATGAGACTCACTGGCCAGCCCGCCTGGTCTGCTTGGCAAGTTCCAGGCCAATGTGAGATCCTGTCAGATAACAAGATAGATGGATCAGGTGTGGTGACTCATGCCTTTATTCCAGCACTTGGGAGGCAAAGGCAGGCCAGTCTAAGAGATGAAACTCAGCCTAGACTTCATAACAAATTTCATTCTAGCCAGAGCTGCATAGTGAGACCTGTCCCAACACCAACATAACAAGTTGATGATTCTTGAGGAATGACACCCAAGGGTATCCTCTGGAATCCACGTTCATGCACATACATGTGCACCTACATACACACACATGAACACACACACACACACACACACACACACACACACACAAACACACACCGGTAAATTAATTAATTGATGAAAATAAATACAGTCACCGGTTTGTTGTGGCACAAGGCTTTAACACCAGTACTTGGGAGAACAAGGCAGGTGGATCTCTGTGAGTTGAAGGCCATCCTGGTCTACATAGTGAGTTCCAGGACAGCCTGGGCTACATAAAAAAGAGACCCTTCCCCCTATCTTCCAGAAAACCAACCAACCAAAAAACAAACAAACAAACAAACAAACACATAAATAAATAACAAAGAAGAGCCACCAGGAGAAAATAGGGGAACTCAGTTTAGAAGAGAGTTGGGGTCTGGGTGGAGGAGGCAGAGCCTGCCTGCATAGAGGCCTTAGGAGTGGAGGTCCATGGACAGATTGAGTCAGACCCACAGTTCCAGGCTACTTCTTGGTATATCAGTCACACTGGTCATCAGGCAGGGTTCCTTGTCCTCGTCCCTGAAAAGAGCACCTTGGACACACACCTGGGTAAAGAGACCGACACACAGTGTAGGACACCATCACCACCTTCTGGGAAATGAGCTTATTGTGACCTTGTCCCCACAGGCCCCTGCTAAGCAGCATCTACTTCCAGCTCCTGGTCTTTCTGGAGGTGCCCCTGCTCCTGAGCATGCTCAGTGCCGTCCTCTGGGTGAACAGGCCTCAGCGGTGCTCTGGGGAGAAGCAACACTGTCCCGATTATGAGAATCAGTGAGGTCTGTTGACGTCGGAGCCCTGTCCATGTCCCTGGACACAGCTCTTCTGATGGCAGAGGACAACAAATAAATCTGTGATTCTGAGAATGCTCTCAGATTTTTACAAGACTCTTTTTGCTGTGTCAAATGCATAAAAGAATGTGCCCCATAAATGCATATACATACACATTATAATAGAATACCTTTACTTATTCTTAGATAATTCCACACATGTACAACAGAACTCTATCATATCTTCCTCCAACCCCACCCCCCCTCCCTCATGTGTTCCCTCCTCCCCTTCGTGGTCCATTCCCTTCCTTCCATTCTTCTCTTTCTCTTCCTAACCCACTGAGTCCACAGTGCCACCCCCCGGAATGCTAACCGATCTTGCTGTCTTGGTCTTGGGCAGGTGACCACAGGCACAGTGTCATGAGTGCACTGACCATGCCTCAGCCAGATCCCAGCTTCTCACAGCCCTCTCCTCCTCACCTCTGGCTGTCGAATGCTTTCCTCTCCTTCTTCCTTCCAAAATGTTCCTGAGCCTTGGGATAGGATGGGGTTGCTTGGGGTATGATGAAGGTGCCTTCTAGTAGTGCGGAGGTGCCTTGAGGTGGTGTAGGGTAGGGTGTGATATAGATGTCCCGTTTACGGCTGAGCACTCAATTGTCACATTTTCTCAGCACCAAGACCACAGCAGAGGGAAGCTTCTCCAACCCAGGCTGAGGACCGCGCTAATCAGAGTTTATGGACATAGATATTTAGAGGGCAGTTTGACAACATGTCCAATAAATAGATACACCTCACATGGAAGTACTCTTGACACTGTGCCCTCCTCCAGATGCAGTAATAGAATGTGGTCTATACTGACGATCCTCCTCTCTGATGTCACATACCTGCTTTCTATTCTCCTTGGTGACGACCTCAACCTGGTATTTTTTTTCTGCTGGCTTAAGGTTTTGTCACATACATGCACATGGGTTTGCCCAGGGTGTATTGTTTAGTGTCTCTGCTTGGGGTTTTTATATAGACAGAGTTATATTTTCTTTTCTAGAGACAGGGTCTCATTATGGAGTCCTGGTCTAAAACTCGCTTTGTAGACCAAGCTGGCCTTTAACTCACAGAGATTCACCAGCACCAGCTGCCTATACCAGTGTTACCCTCTTTTCCCTCAGTTTTCGGGAGTAAACCCAAAGCCTGACATGCAGAACAAGTACTTTGTCACAGAGATGCACCCCAACCCTCTTACTCTGTCTAACTATTTATCTATCTTTGTGTCTGTCTGATGGTGCGTCTGTCTCTACATCTCTCTCCCTTTCTCCTTCTTTCTTTCCTTCCTTCTTCCATTTCTTTCATTAGCAGGGTCTCACTGTGTAGCCCAGGCTAGTTTCCAGCTCCTCATCCTCCTGCCTCAGCCTCCCTAGTTCTGGGATTATGGGCATGTGCTACCATACTCAGTTCGCATGCCTCATTTCTAAGTCTTTGGTTTTATCATTCGACATCGTTGTGTCTTTGAGGTCCATGCACACTGATGTGTTGACACTGTACCGTGCATCTTGTTTGTGTTGCTCTGGCTGGCTGTGTTAACACACTATTACATCGTTTTCCTCTGCGGTTAAACACTTTAGAGCATCCTTTTCCTTTTCTTCTGCCTCCTTCCCTCCTCCTCCTCTTCCCACCCTCCCCCATCCTGTGTTTGTGATGAAACAGAACACAGATGGATGACTCTGGTCATAAGCATGTGTCCTGAAGGCCTGCTTTCTATGTGGGTTCCGCAGATCCAATTCAAGTCCTTTTGCTCACACAGCAAACATTTTATTGACTGACCTATCTCCCCAGTCATCTTTTTTTTATATCTTTTGATAAATGGCTTTTAATTATAATGAACCAAATTAGTCTACTAATTATACTTTTTTTGTCCCTCATTTAAGAAATTATTAATACCAAGCCAAGCACATATCTGTAATCTCAGCACTTGGGAGGTAGAGGTCTGATTTCTGGAGTTTAGTCATCCTCACCTACATCGCAAGTTCCAGTTTAGCCTGGGCTTGGTAGGACTCTGTCTCCAAAAACAAGCAGGGCCTGGAGAGATGGCTCAGCATTTAGGAGCACTGGCTGCTCTTCCAGAGGACCCAGGTTTGATACCCAGCACCCATATGGCAGCTCACAACTATCTATAACTCCAGATGATCCAACTCCCTTTCCTGGCCTCTGTGAGCACTGTCCTGGTGTAAAGACATGCACTGAGGCACAGACATCCATGCACATAAAAACAAATAAGAGCATTTTTAAACAAACAGAAACCTCAGAGAGGATGAAGAAGAAGAGGAGGAGGAGTAAGAGGGGGGAATACAAACAACAACAGAAATAAATGACAGCGATATCCTGAAAATTAATTGTTTTCCTATTTCCTATTGTAAACCTTTTTATGTTTAATACCTTACACTTTTATTTATTACTATTTAGTATGTTTGTGGTGTGTGTACACAAAAGTGCATGTCACAGCACACATTTGGGAGTCAGTGAACATCTTTGTGGAGTCAGGTCTCTCCTTTCACTTCCACATGATTCTGAGAACTGGATTTAGGTCCCCAGGCTCACACAGCATCTTCAACCACTGAGCAATCCTCCCGGTCCGTATAAAGGATTTAATTTTTTTCCTTTTATAAATAAGTAAGTCCTTGACCAATTTTTGTTCATTTGTTTGTTTGTTTTTCCAGACAGGGTATCTCTGTGTAGTTTTTGGTTCCTGTCCTGGATCTTGCTCTGTAGACCAGGCTGGCCTCGAACTCACAGAGATCCGCCTGGCTCTGCCTCCTGAGTGCTGGGATTAAAGGCAGTTGCCTCCACTGCCATCCGGCTCTTGACCAATTTTTAACTGATGTTTTACAGACAAGACCTAGCTATGTAACTCAAGACGGCCTGGAATCCTCTCTGTAGACCAGGCTAGCCTAGCCTGGAACTCACAGAGACCCACCTGCCTTTGCCTCCTAAGTGCTGAGATTAAAGGTGTGAACCACCGTGCCTGCTTTTTATTGATTTTTATTCAATTAAGCCTGGACTAATAATCAATTTTTCTTTCTCTGAATTAATTTAACACTGCTCACATCTTCCCAGTGCCCTGCAATGCCAGCGACTTTGAGGAAGATACTGATTCTGAATATGTTTGGATTTTTTTCCTGGCATCTCTGGTTTATGTGGTTTGTCTAATTTCTCAGCTCTGAACAGGTCCACTGCTGTTTCATTGCTAGAGCTTTAGTCTCAAGCCTTGATGTCCTGTCACTCTTGTGGACGTCAGGATGTCTGTAAACAATGGTCAGGTCCTCTTCTATGCACACCTTTGGACTAGCCAATCAGTTCCTAAAAAGAAAACAAAATCTGAGCTAGAGAGATGGTTCAACGGTTAGGAGAAGTGGCTGCTCTTGCAGAGGAGCTAAGTTCAGTTCTTGGTACCCACACTTGTTATCTCAGAACTTGGCTCAGGGAATCCAATGCCTCCTTCTGGCCTCTGTGGGCACTGCACTTACACATACATATGGGCAGGCAGAACACTCATACATGTAAAATAAAGAAAGTAAAACTTTAAAAAAGAAAGAAATGTTGCTGAAAAGTCCGTGTTGGGAGTCCCCTGGCTCTGCTTCCCCCACTTTCAGTTCTGAAGTTACCGATGTGTACCACTGTACCCAGGTTTTATGTCGGTGCTGGGGATCTGAACTTATTCCTCATGATTACATGACAAGCACTTTACCCATCACCCTGGACTACACATTTAAAGCTTTGATGACACCCAATTCTTCAAATTTCTTTTAAAGGTTTTGTTTGGTATTGTCTATAAAAAATCAATAGCAGCCTTGTATTTGTTGCAACTTTTATAAAGTTTTAAAGTATCTATCTACAATATTTATGTACCCCTCCCCAACTCATGTATGTGTGTGTGTGTGTGTGTGTGTGTGTGTATGTGTGTGTGTGTGTGTGTGTGTGTGTGCGCACTCACATGAGCGTGCAGAGGTCATAGGAGGGTGTGAGTTGCCTTGCTATATCACTCTCCACCTTATTTCTTGAGGCAGGGTCTCTCCCTGAAGTGGAGCTCACTGCTTTTTGGCAAGGTTGGTAGCCAAAAGGCTTGAGTTTTGTAGCTTTTTGTCAACCTTTGAGCTCATGAATCATGATTTAATTGGGATTTCTTGTTCTGAATCGGGGGGGCAGTTCTAGGCATTTAGTTTTCTAGGGTGTGGATATCCAAATGTTTCAACAGTGTGTGTTAAACTCTCCATCTTTCCACACTGCTTTTGTTTTTGTCAAAAACCAGTAGGACGCATTTGAGTGGAAGACATGTGACATTACCTAGAGCCCAGGGAAAGATGAGGCCACTAAAATATGGATTCTGAACCAAGGACAGAGCACCCACAGTGCAACTTACACAGACAAATTTCCCTTGAATTATTGTGGGCAAACCAGAACGTGTCTGTTAGTCCATGCAGAACCTCAGATGTTAGTCTGTGACCTCTGACCAAAGGATGGAGACTTCAGAGCTGTGGATGTATGCCTGGGGCCATATGGTGCTCCCAGCAGGCATGGGGACTGACCTAAGGTGCACAGATGGGCCTTCAGGAATGAGATGGGGACCAGTCAGCAGGGCAGAATCAGCTCTTCTGCCTGCCTTGTGACAGGGCGTGTGTGGTGTCACACCTTCAGATCTTGTTGTCCTTCTAATAAGCAATGAGATGGTCCTAGATTAAGACCCTTTTCTGTAGCAGTTTAATGTCCTGGCTGCAGATTCTTTAAAACTCCTATTTTAGAGTTTAGAGACTGCTGTGGGATGGTTTGTTTGTCAAGTGTGTTGCTGATTGGTCAATAAATAAATCACTGATTGGCCAGTGGCCAGGCAGGAAGTATAGGCGGGACAAGGAGGAGAATAAAGCTGGGAAGTGGAAGGCTGAGTGAGAGACACTGCCAGCCGCCATGATGACAAACAGCATGTGAAGATGCCGGTAAGCCACAATGCGTGGCAAGGTATAGATTTATAGAAATGGATTAATTTAAGCTATAAGAACAGTTAGCAAGAAGCCTGCCACGGCCATACAGTTTGTAACCAATATAAGTCTCTGTGTTTACTTGGTTGGGTCTGAACGGCTGTGGGAATGGCAGGGGAGAGAGATTTGTCCTGACTATGGGCCAGGCAGGAAAACTTTAGCTACACCTACCTATCAGGCTCAATCTTCCTTCCCCTTGTGGTGACTTTTCTGAGGTGGCTTAGGCCAGTAGATGGCAGTGTCTTCTTAATCTTTCCTTCTATCAGCATTGTTTATTAAATTAACTTTATTTGTTTATTTTACATCCTGACCCTCCACTCCTCCCATTTTTCTCCCCACCTCACTTCTATCCACCCCACCCACTCCTCCTCTGTTTGGCAGGCTTCCCATGGATCTCAACAAAGCATGGCATATCGAGTTCAGGTAGGACTAAGCTCTTCTCCTTGTATTAAGATTGGGCAAGGCAACCAAGTATGAGGAAGAGTTTCCCAAAAGACATCCAAAGCACTAGACAGAGCCCCTGATCCCACTTCTATGAGTTCCAGAAGTAGACAAAGCTAAAACTGTCACACATATGTAAATGGCCTAGGTCAGTCCCGTGCAGGCTCCCTGGCTGTTGGTCTAGACTCTGAGCTCCTATGAGCCCAGGTTAGTTGTTTCTGGGGATTCCCTTGTGATGTCCTTGTCCCCCTTGGCTGGTACAAACCTTCCTCCCTCTCTTCAGCAGGATTCCCCAAATTAGGACCAATGCTTGGCTGTGGGTCTCTGCGTCTGTTTCCACCAGTTACTGGATAAGGGCTCTCTAATGACAATTGGGGTAGTGCCAGTCTATGAGTATGACGGAATATAGACCTCAGCCTAGAGTTTTTAGAACTGCCAACATCCTCATTCAAACTTCCCTGTACATACCCTCAGAGATGCACCTACAGGGTATTCTCCTAGGTGATTTCAAAGCCCAGGCAAGTGGGCAATGAAGATTAAATGTGTGTGTGTGTGTGTGTGTGTGTGTGTGTGTGTGTGTGTGTATGCTTAAATTTTCCTCCCAAAAGTTTGATACCAGGCTTACTTTGTACCTGTATCTATGGACACTTACAACTTGTCCTCTGGATATCAACCAGCTGCAGATTCCCACCACTTGGGAGGCTCACACTGGAGAGTGAGGGTTTGAAGCCAACTACACAGCAAAATTCAGTCTTACAAAAACAAAACAAGGGGTTGTGTATTCAGCTCAGTGGGTAGAGTGCTTGCTGGCATTTGTAAAACCTTGGGTTCAGTCCTCAGCCCCTCATAACACTGAGCATGGTGGTGAATGCCTGGAATCCCAGCACTTTGGTGCTGGAGGAAGGAGAATCAAGGCAGATTGAGCGACATGAGACCTTGCCTCAAACCCAAACTCTCCCATTCTCTGAGTGAACACCTGTGACCCCAGTAGCCATTGTGACAGGTGTCCCTGACCAGAGAAATCGTTGCTCTGAGTTCACAGCAGTGCTGCCCAGGCTGAGCCTTCAGCAGTGCCCCTCACCACTGGGCTAGCCTGGGCTGCCTTATGCTTTCTTGCTATTGCAGTCACCCTCCTGAGAAAGCTGAAAAGAAGTTTCAAAACCAGAGTCTCCCTGGCAGGCTTGTGGGTGCTTGTTGAATACAACCACCCCTCCCTGTCCAGTCTGTCAGGACAGGGGCCCTTTAAGGCTTAGCTCACGCTGTCCGAGAAATGCTGCAGGCAAGCAGAAACCCAAGGCCAGACAGAGAAAACCTACGAACAGGTCCAAGGTGTGCTTGAAAATGTGCTTAGGTGCTGAAGAAGGAAAATTAAATGGGTGTAGACAGCCATAGGGAAAAAATTAAATACTTAGAAAATAATAAAGTAAGTCTTCAAAGAGAGAGTAAAGTAATATAAACAGAATAAGCCATGTAAGGATGGGAAATGCCATACACAGGGCATTTAGACATTATGTAGTGCTTTATTTACTTCAAATATTTTAAATGTTAATGAACAAAAGCCAGCAACTGTGGAGAAACAATGGACAGTAAAAAAAACTGCTGAATCAAACCATCATATATATTTTAAGGATGTCTTAACTTCAGAATGAAATTCAGGAAATGTGTTACATTGGGGGAGAGGTTATACCTTTGTTTCCACAGGAAAGAAAAAGCTATGGACTCCTTCAAAATTAATAAAGATCGTATTTGATCAGGGGAGACCTCCTGAAATCTTGGCTGCAGACATGAGGAAGAAACCAAGAAAACTATAAGACAGGTAACATTATATGCTGGTCCCTCTACATGGGAACAGCTCTGAAACTGGATGAGCCATGATAAATCTTGTTGCCTACAGAGTTCTCATGACAGTTTGGTTATGCAGTCCAAACAGACTTATAAAATTGACAGGTGCCTTTTACCTGCTCAAATATAGAACAGAGAATCATCTTTAGCTGATTTGTGCACACCACACATTCCATACTTGTGTTAATGTAGATATGTACGTTACTTTTAAAAGTTTGTATGTTTTCAAAACAAAAGGACCAGACATTAATGAAGACAAGACAAGTAGCCCAGGTGATCCAGACTCACAGAACGCCTGTGTTGCTGCTTCCTCAGAAATCTGCATACAGGACAACTTCAAAGCTGCTGGCTCAGATGATCCATCCTCACAGACTGCTAGCCAGGACTTCAGTTAAGCCCCGCACTTTTCCATCACAGAGAAACTGGACCACCAATGATACAACTAGCTCTCCCAAGACATGACCATTGTCCCAGTTTTCTCCGGGTCACCTGAAGACGCCATCACCCCCAGACAACAAGAAGCAATTTTAAGAACATGACACCCACATTCCCGAGAGGTATGGAAGGTTGTTGTTTTTTTTGGCATTTGGTGGGTTACAGATGTTTGCTGTCATTTAGGGCAGTTGAGTACAAGTTATTATTGTTCACGATCATGGAGGAAACTAAACAAAGAGTTAAATTAAGGGATTTCTTTCTTTTTCTTTCCTCTATCCTCCTTCCCCTTTTATCTACTGTTGGGGAAAGAAAGGGGCATATGGGATGAAAAAATGGGGGATATAGGAATGATAGGATAAAAGGGCAGATTTTTGAATCTACTTTGAAACTAAAAAGCAACTACTAGTCTCAATATTTTACACTGCATGGATTTTTGTGTATTGATATGAATTTAAGTTTATTTTTGTTACAGCATATTGTATAGATGTTTCTGCTCCTGTTTAAGGTATTGTACCTATGCAACTCATTTAAAAATGTAATGTAGTGTTCTAGCCCTGAAAGCTACTGTTATAAACTGTTTAGGATAATTAGGAAATGCAGGTTAATAGTCATCTATTGCAATCAAGCTTGTCATCATATTAGGTATGTTTTCAAAGTTAAACAGAGGTACATTTTAGATAGATAGGTGGTCTTTAAACACTTCAGAGATTTATAGAATATGACATTTAAGATGTTCTAATAACATAAAGCTTTTATGACAGTGACACTGCCTGCCAGCACCAATCTACTTTGAAGCGGATGATAGGCACTGAAGAACTTCCATATGAAGTTTGCGTCAAATGTGACAAAGCTGACCATTGAGCAAGAAACTGTTCTTGCCTTGACTGCTGACAGTATGCTATTCAAATTGGACAAGTAGGAGACAAAAGAAGTTGACTGTTAAACTTTGCAAAAACAAGGTAGGCCAGTCCTTCAGAATTTCTGCTTCAGGAAAAGTCTGTTAGATATTCTGGGCCTGAATGCTGAAGATGGATGCTCCAACATTGCAGAGGAACCTTGGGTGACTGTCCAGGCAGCCAGCTGTCTCTGTCATTTCTTAGTTTTGAAAGTTTCTTGCTCTGTACTTTCTGTTTACTCAGGTAATATTTTATTCTTCTCAGGTCTCTGATGGCATTAAAGACTAGATAGTTATGGTTTTATAGTTTTCATTGCTACCAAATTTAAAAAAGAAACTCAGAAAGAGATTTAAAGTTTATAAAGGTTGAGAAACATATAAGCTTAAGTTGTTTATCTAAAATTGTTTCAATCTCTAAAAGGCTATCTTTGTCTAGTAATGCAAGTTATGATAGAAAGTGATTTGGGTACAAAACAACTGACTCATCAAGGAGGATAGATGATGGAGTACTTTCTCCACGGTTGGAAGAAACATCCAAATGGACTGGACATTGGGAATGTAATTCTTGCCTGATAATTTTTTTTATTGAACATAGTTTATTGATGTTAGAGAAAGAGCATTTTATTGGATTTCTAAAAGGGGGAAATGTTGGGATAATCTTTTTGTCAAAGTATAAAGATGTCTCTTTCTCCTCCCTTACTGATTGGTTTAATAAAGGGCTGAACAGCAAATAGCTAGAAAGGAGAGGACAGGCAGGACTTCCGGGCAGAGATAGGAACTCAGGGAAAGATTTTGAGGAGTAGGATATTCCCCAGTCAGACATGGAGGAAGTTGGACTTAGGGTACTGAGGAGAGGTAATGAGCTATGTGGCAGAATTTAGATTAATACAAACAAGTTAATTTAAGTATTAAGAGCTAGTTGAGAGGGGTGGAGAGATGGCGCAGAGATTATGAATATTGGCTACTCTTCTGAGTTCAATTCCCAGCAGCCACATAGTAGCTCACAACCATCTATTATAGGATTTGATGTCCTCTTCTGGCATACAGGTATATATGCAGAGCACTCATACATAAAATAAAAAGAAATAAAAATTAAAAAAAAGAAGAGCTAGTTGGGAACAAGCCTAGGCTAAGGCCAAGCTTTCACAATTAATAAAAGGTTTCTGTGTCATTATTCAGGAGCCGGCAGTCTACAGAAAAGCTCGTTACATGCTCTCCTCTCCCATGATCCCCTGAAGTTCACTCATGTCCCAGGTGAGCAGAGGGATTTGCTGTATTGCATCTGTCTTTACTGTCCTGTCTGTCTGTGTCTCTCCTTGGAAGTCCCACCCATCTTTCAAGTTCAGATCTAGCATTGCATCTATCGCCTGTACCACACTTGCAATGACTTGGTCTTCTCAAAGACTGACTTCTTCTTTCAGGAAATACGCAAAAGCGAGAAGTTATCAAGGAAGTGAATGAGAGAGACCTAAGGAAATTCAGACTGAACTTCAAGTCCTTGCCGGGTGTTGGCATCTGTCACCATCACGGCCAGGAGAGGAGACAGGACCATGTGGCTGTTCCCAGCTCTGCTCCTCTTCCTCCCAGGTAAGTAGCTGGGGCTTTAAGACATCACAGTGTCAGTGGTGGCACAGGACACAGAGTCTGCCCTGGGTTAGAAAAAACAGGAAGGGCTAATTCATTCACCAGCTGCTTACTCCCTAAATAAAAGGCAAGTCTTTGGCATCTGATGGATCCTATGGATGCTTCAGAGAAGCCAAAATAAAAAACGAATTTTCAAAATTCTTCCAGAGTGTGTTTCTCAACCCTGTTGCTCCACAAAAGCAGTTGAGTGAAGGGATAAATGAATTATTTTAAAAATATGTTTATACTTTATATTTGGTACTTGGAGATAGGATCTCATGCAGCCTAGGATGATTCTGAAATTGTGATCCTCTGGATTCCATCCTGAGTGTTGGGATTTCTAGCATGCATCTCAATTTCCAGTCGCACTCTGATTTTTAATTGACACAGTATTTAAACATACTTATAGGGGCCTCGTGTGGTAGAGTATGCCTTTAACGTCAGCACTCAGAAGGCAGAGGTAGGTGGACCTCTGTGAGTTCAAGGCCCATCTGGTCCACATAGGGAGACCTATCTCAAAAAGGAAAAAGAAACTGATAGATACAATGTTATATTTGCATGTGTGTATATAGGATGTGACAGTCAAATCTAGGTAGCTGACCATTCACCACAGGCATTTGTCATTTCTTTGTACTAGAAGCATCTGAAATTTTCTCTATGAGCTATTTTGAATTATTGAATCATCAACCATATTTCTCAGCTGTGTTGTACAACACTAGAAGTTGTCAACTCATCAAATGACCCCCTACATTCTAAGCACTCTCTCTGTCCACCTTTCTTCCCTTACACTCTTCCAGGCTGATAACTGCTATTCTGTTCACTACTTCTTTGATATTAACTTTCATGCTTTTTGAAAAAAAATCTGTCTGTGAGGTGTATGCATATGTAAATGTTTAGTGTGTGTATGTGTGTGCTTAGGTACATAGGTGTGTGCACACATATATGTGGAAGCCAGAAATTACCATTGGATACCTTTATCACTCTCCACCTTGTTTGTTGAGACAGGCTCTCCCACTGAACCTGGAGCTCACTGACTCAGTCTAGGTGGCCAGTGATGGATCCCCAGGGATCCTCCTGTCCCTGACTCCCCAGCTCTTAGGGCTCCAGACACACCCCACCTCATCTGAATTTTTCTATGTGTTCTGTGGATCCAAACTCAGGTTCTCCTGCTTCTGCAGCAAACACTTTACTGACCCGTCCATCTCCCCATCCCCTAGACTCAGAGAATAACTTTTTATCTTCCACATATAAATAGAAATGTGTGGTAGTGTCTTTCTGTGTCTGGTTTATTTCACTTCCTCCAATCCCATCCCTGGCTGCAAATGATGGAATTCAATCCATCTACAATGCTATTCCACTGCATTTATGAACCACACTTTATTATCCATGCATCCACATCAAGGCTGATCCTGTGCCATGGCTGTTGTGAATCTGCTGCAGGAAAAACAGGGGAAGGATCACTGCAGTAACTCACTAATTCTCTGGACTCTGGGCTTGCTTTCTATCACTGTGATATAGGCCATGGCCAAGAACAGCTGGGGGAGGAGAAGGCTTGTTTACTTACATGTCCGAATCAAGTCCATCATGGAGAGAATCCAGAGCTGGAGCTCAAGATGGGCAGGAATCTGGAGGCAGGAACTGAGGCAGAGATCCTGGAGGAGTGTGGTTTAGTGGCTTGCTCCCCATGGTTTCTTCAGCCTGCTCTCTTATACTACCCAGGGGTGTTGTCATCCACAGTGGACTAGACCTCCTCACATCCCCTTGCCTACAGGCCCACCTGATGGAGGCATCTTCTCAACTGATGTTCTTTCTTTGCCTACCCCCAGGTGGTGTCAAGTTGACAAAAAGCTCACTAACACAGGCTTTATCCCTGAATGTAACTGCTGAATTATGTGGCAGTTCTATGCTTTTCTGAGGAACTTCCATACTGTTTCCCACAATGTCTAATTTACATTCCAACCCACAGCGTGTGAGACTTCCACTGTCCCACATGCACATCTACAGTTGTTATATTTTGTCTTTTTGGTAATATCCATTCTAACTGGGGGATGATGATGGCTCTCTGTAATTCTGATTTGCATCAATCTCCCTGACAATTAGTGAAATGGAGCATTTCTCCATATATTTATTGACCATTTGTACGTCTTTTGAGAACTGTTTGCTGTTAATCTGCTCATGTGTGTGTGGGTGTGAGCAAGTGTGCATGCACACCTTTATCTTTTCATTTTATTTTATTTTTGACACAGAGTCTCACTATGTAGTTCCAGATGGACTGCAACTCTTTTTGTAAACCAGGCTGGCCTTGAACTCACAGAGATCTGCCTGTCTCTGCCTCCTGAGTGCTGGCATTAAAGCATGCACCACCAAGCTCTACTCCCACCTTTATTATTTGAGATAGGGTTCCATACTGACACTGAGGCTGGCTTGGATGGCCAAGGCTTCCAGGATCCCCTCTCTCTACTGTCCACCTCTGTGCTGGGCTCCAGGGACACACCAGCACTCCTGACATTTACATGGTTGCTGGGAACACACACTCAGGTTCTTCTTGCTTAGGCTAACACAGCAGGTGTCTCACTGACTAAGCCTTCTCCACAGTGCCTCAGTAGATCATTTTCTACTGGATTATGACTGCTTATGGACTCTTGAGTTGAATTCTTGCTCATATAGTCTAGAAATTAACCTCTTGTCAGATGCATAGTCTGAAAAGATGCTCTCCCAGGCTGGAATCTGTGTCTCCACTCTGTTGTTTGAGTTATTGTAGTTTGAAATAATTACATTTAGTGATTTTTGTTTTCTTACCTGTGCCATTAGGAACATACTTTGGTGTTATTGTTTGCTGTGGGATGGTCTGTATGTTAAATTGCTCTGATTGGCCAATAAATAAAACACTGATTGGCCAGTGGCTAGGCAGGAAGTATAGGTGGGAATAACAGAGAGGAGAAAAGAAACAACAGGAATGCAGAAGGAGTCACTGCCAGCCGCCGCCATGACAAGCAGCATGTGAAGATGCCGGTAAGCCATGAGCCACATGGCAAGGTACAGATTTATGGAAATGGATTAATTTAAGCTGTAAGAACAGTTAGCAAGAAGCCTGCCATGGCCATACAGTTTTTAAACAATATAAGTCTCTGTGTTTACTTGGTTGGGTCTGAGCGGCTGTGGGACTGGCGGGTGACAAAGATTTGTCTTGACTGTGGGCCAGGCAGGAAAAACTCTAGCTACAATTGTTGTTTTTATTGTTGAATCTAATACCCTGAAGGCTTCCTTTACTGGTTTTAAAGCAGGTATTTATTATTGTTTATTTTGTGCTTCCTATGTAAGTACCCCACACACACACACACACTCAACCACTAGAGACTGCTGGACTCCCTGAAGTGGCCTCTGCATGGCCACAGAATGTGATGTCTTCAGATGGACCTTCTGAGGGTCACGGGTACTGCAATGAACTCAGGATCGCGTCCTGTGCACAATCCCTTCTGACACGTCCTCTGCTCCAGGGTAACACAAAGATGGTTGCAAAAGGATCCTTAGAAAAGTACTTTTATTGTCCACTGGGGAGTGAAGAGGTGTGGATGACAGAAGTCATGATTGCTCAGTGTCACCACTTTCCTTCTGAGACCTTCAGCATTTTTTTCTTGAGTCTTTGACCAATAGAATGGCGATGATCTGTCTTGAGAAAGGGGTTGCTCTTAATGGATGATAAGTTGTGAACTCTTTTCAGCACAGAATATTGTGTCCCATTCTTGGAGTGGGAGATCAGTTGTCTGTGGGTTTGTATTTTCCAGGCTTCTCCACTGCTCCGGATCCAATCACAGGGCCAGACATGATGAGGGGTCAGGAGCAGGGCTCCTTGACTGTGCGGTGTCCTTATGACTCATCCTGGAAGGATTACAAGAAGTTCTGGTGCCAAGGAGCTGTTTGGAGAACATGTGAGATCTTCATTCAAACCGATGCATCAGAGAAGTTGGTGAGGAAGGACCGTGTGTCCATCAGGGACGACCAGACAAACTTCATCGTCACAGTGACCATGGAGGACCTGAGGATAAGCGATGCTGGCATTTACTGGTGCGCGATTGAGAATACTGGACCTGATCCCCATTTTAAAGTTAATGTGAACATTGACCCAGGTAAGAAAAAATTCTAGAAGATTCTGGCTGGGGTGAGGAATCAGGGACCCTGAATTCATTACCATAAAAGTCTTACTGGGAAATATAAACACAGCCGACTCTGCTGGTCCTGTTTTCTACTGGGATAAAGGTGAGGTGGGGAGGCTTTGTCTTCCTGCCCCCACATGTGAGTCTTGCATATTCTCACTTGTACAGATGTGGGGACTGAACTCAAACCTCAGGTGTGCTAGCCACGCACCCTACCACTGAACTAAACTCCCATCCTGACACCCCCCAACACCACCCCTTTAACACAAAATAGATGAAGCCACAGAAGCTCTGTTTCTGCATAAGATAGAGTAATAAGGATCAGATTTATGTCTGTTTAAACAACTACAGTAAAGAAAATAGACAAAATTAGGTCTGGAGAGATGGCTCAGTGATTAAGAGCATGGGCTGCTTTTCCAGAGGACTGGGTTTGGATCTCAGCACCCATATAGCAGCTCACAACCATCTTCAACTCCAGTTCCAGGGATCTGATGGCCTCTTCTGGCCTCAATGGAACCACAGGCACATGGTGCCCATACATGTGGTGCACATAGATATGGGCAAGCAAACACCCATAGACATATAAATAAATATTTTTCAAAATAGACAAAAAATGCGAAACTGAAGTTTTTCTGCATATTGCACACCAGGCAGTAATGAGTGAGCCATGGAGGAAGTGGGTTTTAAAGGGGGCTGCTTTGCTCCCACATCATCTTTCTTTAGAAAGGAATTAATGTGAAGGTTTGGATGGTGACTGGAGAGCAAATTCCTAAATTACTAGTGGGAAAAGATTAGGCCATATCTAGAGCTGGACTGTCCACAGGAGTGAACCATGTTCTGTTTGTGTCTTTAGCCCCAGAAACTTCAACTATAACAATGACAACCATGGCCCCAGTTCTGACATCCACACCATCAACCATGGAGAACACTGGCAACTATGGAGGGACTCAAACCAACACCCACACCTGGTAAGCAGAGCTGGACCCCGGCAGCTCTTTCATCACTGGGCTGTCCCTGTGGCCTCTCCCCTGGATAAAACATAGATGCCCAGGACTCCCAGGATACACGAAAACCTTTCATTTCTAGCCTATGTACATTCCCAAGCATTACATGGCTATATTTATAATTTTGAAAAAATCACTTATCTGAATACCAAATTGGCTTGGCCATCTTGTAATTTTATTTGCTAAACTCAGTAACTGTCTTAGAGGGACACTGGGGCTGCTACATTCTCATGTTAAAGTTTGAGGTAGGCTCCCCAACCCTTTTACCTTTTAGTATACCAAGACTTCCCTTCTAAGCTTCAGCTACAGGAAGGCAACATCTTTATCTGAGTGGCAAAAGAGATTGAGCCTGGACTTTGTTGTGTCCCCATGTGTCCCCCAGAGGGCAGGACAGAGGGCCATGGTTGGGTCTCCTCTGAGATAGAAGAGATTCTTCTCCCATCATCTCCTGCTCCAGCTTCATAAACAAATCTTGTTCCAATGCAACTCTGCCAGGAGCCAGTGTGGGGTCTACACAGTGCAGAGGAGGACATGGGAAACTGAGGGCTATGTTGTACCAGTATTATGCTCGTCACTCTTGAATGTGTCCAGAGGAGTTCCCAGCACCTTATAGCTACTTTGGCATAATTCCATCCCAGCCTGTTGGGGTCACGTCTCCAGGTCATGGACACAGCTAAAACACTAGCCCCCACATCCCCCTGTAGCCAAGGTAGAGGTCACCTCACTAACCCTCCCTGAGAATTGTCCCTCAGGTCTTATCTAGTCCTGCCCACATTCCCACCTCTATTGTGTTCTTTCTGCTAACCAAGCCTTAAGGTATACAAACATGTCTCAAAATATTTCAGCCTTGTAAGCTATCTTGAGGATTACTTTTTAAATTTTCTCTGTCTCCTAGTGCTTTGGAAGTGTTTTTTAATTTGTTTTGCAAGTGGATGGAGTGTTAGTTATGGAGAGACAGAGAATATGAGGCCCCCGAAATGTATAGAGTTCAAGAGAATGTAGAGCATGCACATAGGTCAGTCCTGGGAAACATGTCAGGACATCTGATGAATGGTCTGACAAGAGGCAGCTCTTCCAACTTCCAGGAACATGTTCATGCCAACCTGTGACTCACAGAGTATCTGCAGTTGTAGATCCTTTCCATGAGCTGAGGATGGCCTTGTGTTGGGCCAAAGGAGAAATCAAGGATGGTCAAGAAAGGAGATGGAGTCCTGGAAAGGGGATGAGGATGACAGAGAGGTGGGAATAGGGGATCAATACTGTTCAGGGCCTCATGATCCACGGTGTATAATAAGGAACACAAAAAAAAACTACAACATGAGTATCAATTCATGTGACAGAGCAGAAGCAGCCACCAAACATTTCTTGATGTAGTGTGCCCAAGCCTCCTAGGATGTATGTCAGCTCCCACACAGGCAGTGATGAGGTTGGGCAGGGACAATCTGGGTGAAGAGTGTAGCAGAAGCCAAGGTCAAAAGGTCACGGATCAGGGAAACCTGCACCCTGACTGGAATGCAGACTAGATGAGGAGGACTTCTGGGAGACCAGCTGTCAGGAGACCAGGGTTGGGGTTCCAACGTGACCTATTGAAGGGTCCCTTGAAGGAGTGAAGTGAGGAATTTGAGAAATGCTAGACAGGAAATATAGAAGTAGACATAGAAAAAAGAAACATAGGATAGATTTAGGAGGGCTCTGGGTCAATACCCAGCAGCCTCGAGTTGTTTCTAACAGGCTTTTTATACACTAGCAAGGGGAGGGGCAAAAGACCTCCCCCTTTCAAGATCAAAGCACAAGGTAGAGCCAAGTGTAGACCCTTCCAAACACCTGGTAACCCATGCCCCACGGCAAAGCATCTTGTGATTAGGCCTTGAAGTATAAGACACTGGTGACCATGCCTTTGCACCCTATTATGCAGCCTTGGAGAGCAATATCAACTCTGACTCTCTGACCTTGATTCAAACCACAAGTTGAAATCTTTTTGGGCTTGAACAACCAGCCAACTAGAGAAGGGATTGGTTCAAGAAGAGAGGTGGGAATCAGGCAAAGCTTCCCCAGCTGGAGCTTAGCCTGCAGGCAGCATGACCAGCCACACACTCGCAGGGAGGCCATCCTGCTTGCATCAAGGTTTGTCCTTATCAGCTAGCTCACTGAAGGCTAGGACATGGACACGAGGAACCCTGAGACCTCTATGCCCGGTGACAGCTTACTTTCTGTCTCCATTTCCTGTAGGTCCCTGCTGAGCAGCATCTACTTCAAGCTCCTGGTTTTTGTGGAGGTGCCCCTGCTCCTGGGCATGCTCAGTGCACTCCTTTGGGTGAACAGGCCTCAGAGGTGCTCTGGGGGAGGTGAAGTTGGCCTGGTGAAGGCCCAGAGTCCTGATGCCCAGGAAAGAGAGAAACACCTTCCAAATGATAGAAAATAATACCTCTATCCCGGGTGTGTGTGTGTGTGTGTGTGTGTGTGTGTGTGTGTGTGTGTGTGTGTGTGTGTTTATCCATTGTGGGTGCATATGTGTATGTAGAGGACAAATTCAGGTGTCATTGTACTATTGTCTGAGACAGGATTTCTCATTGCCCTGGACTTTTGCTAAGTAGACCAGGCAGCTGGTGGGGAAATCCAGGGAGCTACCTGACTCTACCTCCTAGCTGGGCTATACAAACACGCAAAACTGCCCCAGCTTTACAACACACACACACACACACACACACACACACACACACACACACACACACACACACACATAGCTTAAAGTTTTCCTGCCTGGCCCACAGTCAGGACAAACTCTCTCACCCGCCAGTCCCACAGCCACTCAGACCCGACCAAGTAAACACAGAGACTTATATTGGTTACACACTGTATGGCCGTGGCAGGCTTCTTGCTAACTGTTCTTACAGCTTAAATTAATCCATTTCCATAAATCTATACCTTGCCACATGGCTTGTGGCTTACCGGCATCTTCACATGCGGCTTGTCCTGATGGCGGCTGGCCGTGTCTCCCTCACCCAGCATCCTGTTCTCTCAATTCTCCTCTCTGTTAGTCCCGCCTACACTTCCTGCCTGGCCACTGACCAATCAGTGATTTATTCATTGACCAATCAGCAACACATTTGACATACAGACCATCCCACAGCACACACACACAGGACAAAACAAAATAAAAAACCCATGGGCTGTGTTGGTCTCACTCATGTGCTTGCACTTACAAGAAAGGCAAGTTCTTTACCAGCTGAGCCATCTCCCTAGCCTAGAAAAGAATATTTCTATGAGGAAATGACTGTGGTCTGCAGTACCATGACTCTGGGGTACTGTGGGGTCAGACACCTCTTATAGCAGGACAGCTGAGGTTCTGGAACCCACTCAGGTTCTCCCTCTCAGAATATCCTACAGTGCCTCCCTAGGCCTTTCTTCCTCTGATGGCCTCCAGTGGAGGAGAAAATACAAGATAAGTCATGTTTCTTTTTAGGGCCCCAGTTCCCTGGAGGACAAAGTCTCTGGGCCACCATACAGGTGTTTAACCAAATATCTGGGAAATGTGGCTTCACCAAGAGGCATAAAAGTTTGCATAAAAGTCATTTTGGATGTCTGTAGCTTACAGAGAGAAAACACCCTGCCTTTTTGTCAACACAACTCAGTGACTAAACCTGTTCCAAACACAGATGGAGCAGTTGACTGAGTCTCTGTGCCACATGTCAGGGTTCCCAAGGTGTAGCTCAGTCTTGGTCCCTGAAGTCCAGATATTCGGCTCAGTGAGACCAAATGAGGAGTGTTGTGGATTATTATTGTAACTTTGTAAAAATGTGTTACATTTGTTTATGTTGCAGAATATTACTTTAACTGTGTAAAAATGTGTTACATTTGTTTATGGTGGATTTGTTTAATTATGTAAAGATGTGTGGCTGTTCCTCCTTACCTGCCTAAATAAAGCACCTGGTAAATCTAATTAAAAGCTGAACGGTCAGTAGCTAGGCAGGAGAGGGATATGGGCACTGACAGACAGAGAGAATAAGTAGAAGGAGAAATCCAGGTTCAAGAGAAGAGTGGAACAAAGAGAATGAGGGAGAAAGAGAGGGACACACCAGAAGCCAGACGATCAGCCCCTAGCCAGACAGAGACAGCAGGAAAGTAAGACATACAGAAAGAAAGGAAGGTAAAACGCCCCAAGGCAAAATGTAGATGATGAGAAGTAGATTAATTCATAAGAACTAGCCAGACACTTAAAGTGGCATGAATGGGACCTCCCTGAACCCATGTAAACCACCTCCCCAGAAACAACCCTAAGCTAAGATTGACCATTCATATATCTAATAATAAATCTCCATGTCATGATTTCAGAGCTGGTTGGTGGTCAAAAAGGAAAATCCTGCCACAGGGGAGTTAACTGGTGAAGGCTGCTTTCCTCTCAGGAATCATGAGTCGACATCAGCCCCTTGTGTTGTAGAATAATCTTTTTTTACAATTTGAAGATGTATCACACAGATTGCTTTAATAAAGAGCCGAATGACCAATGGCTAGGCAGGATTTTCAGGGCAGAGAGAATTCTGAGAAGAAGGGGAGTTGGAAGCAGGACATCCAGGAAGAGAGCTGACAGCTTCAAGCCACGTGGTGGGATGGAGATTAATCAAAATGGCTTAATCTAAGTTATAAGAACTTAGTTAGAAACAAGCCTAAGCTATAGGCAAACGTTCATAATTAAAAGAAGTCTCTGTGTCATTATTCGGGAGCTGGCTGGTGGGACAGAGAAAAACTAGCTACACTCTTGATTCTTCTAGGGCCAGTCTCCACACCAGGTCACTCAGCTGTTCTTCTGTTCCTTCAGAAGCATCTGTTCAATGTTTAAGCACTACACACCATCCAAATACAAGCTTCAAAATGAGAAAGACCTGGTTAAATTCCAGAGGAAGCTGAAAGGTTCAAAGGCAAAGGCTCAGCCTGAAACTAGCTATTCCCAGCTCTCCAGCCTCAGCCATGCTGAGTTATGCACCCCACAACATGCAGTCTTCTTATCAGGCTGGGCTCTGACACCCACAGCCCAAACTCACACCTAACATGGATGTTCTCCCTACTTTGTGTTGGAAGAGACCCACGTTAGAATCTTCTCCTGGATGACATGATTGGACCTCTAGTAAGTCTGCCTTGGTTGAGAGAAGGCTTTTCATTGCTTCAATGGAGTAGCAGATGGTAAGTTGCCTGTGTTCTACCCATGCTCAGACAATCAATCCTAATTAAACTCAGTGGTATGTATACACACACACACACACACACACACACACACACACACACACACACACACACACAGATATCATGTAAGTAGGAGAGGGGTGCATTAGAAAGAAGTGGGCTGGGTGGTGGTGGTGCATGCCTTTAATCCCAGAACTTGGGTGGCAGAGGCATGTTGATCTCAGAGCTTGAGGCTAGCCTGATCTACAGACTGTTTCAGGAAATACAGGGCTATACAGAATCATTGTCTCAAAAAAAGAAAAAAAGGAAGGAAGGAATTAAGGTAGGAATGAAGGAAGGAAGAAAGGGAGGAAGGAAGGAAGCAAGGTAAGGAGGGAGAGAGGGAGGGGAGGAGGGAAGGAGGGAGGAATGAAAGAAGAAGCCAGGCTGTGGTTGACCACTTCTTTAATCCCAGCTCTCAGGAAGCAGAGTCAGAATGATCTCTGTGAGTCTGAGGCCAGCCTGGTCTACAGGATGAGTTCCATGACATCCAGGGCTTCACAAATATATAAATAAATAAATAAATAAATAAATAAATAAATAAATAGATAGATAGATAGATAGATAGATAGATAGATAGATAGATAGACAGATAGACAGATAGACAGATAGATAAATGAATCAATCAATCAATCAATCAATAAAAATAAGGAAAGAAAGAAACAAAATCTTCCATGGAGAATGCCAGAACTATCGGTCATTTGCTCATGATATGAAGATAGATTTTTTTTTCTTACTTTTTCTGGGATGGATTCCCTGAGCAGAAATGTCAGGCAAACTCACTCCCATTGCCTCAAACACCCCTGATATGGGCACAAACAGATCATGAAGAAACCACACACCCACTAATTCATCTCCTTTGCTTCACACATCAGGGGCAACTAGAACTTGCCCCATGCTACATAGATAATAGTAGCTGAGGCTTGTGATCCCAAGTATAGCTGTGTCCTCTGTCCCACAGGCTGTACAAGTTGATTCCAAAATAACAAATGTTGCACAGGCCCCACACTATGTAAAAATTCCTTTAGCAATGTCTACACTCATAGAATCTTGTTAAGGACCCAAAAGAGTCAGCCCCACCATCATTCTGGACACTTGGGGAGGTATCTTGTGAGACATGAGTTGGTCATTTTTCCTGGCGTGTTTGTTCTCCCTGGAATCTAGAACAGACTTTCTCTGATTCCCAGGTAAGCCCTATGGTTCCAAGGCCACAGAACAACTGACTGGGAGGGGGGAGTTGAAAAGGAAAAGAATTGGTGGAAGCCACAGAGTCCTGCTTCCCATCTCACATCTACAAAGAGCAGTATCTCCAGACCTCAGCAGAGATCATCCATGTCCTGTCCAATTCTCATTGGAGGCTTGTCCTTAAAAAAAAATCATTAAGTGTGCATGAGTATGTATTTGTGTGTATGTGTGTAATGGTGTGCACACACATGTAGGTGGACTTTTCTGTCCCATCAGTCCACTCCCCAATAACTACAAAGAGGATTAACATTAATCATAAATGCTCAGCCAATAGCTAAGGCTTGTTACTAGCTAACTCTTACAACTTAAAGTAACCCATTTATGTTCATCTACATTCTGCCACATGGCTTTGGTGCAGTATTTCCTCACTATGCTCCCTTCCCTACGTTTTGGAATGGTAATGTATATTCTATGCCATTATACATTGGAAGTATGTGACCTGCTTTTTTGCTTTGGCTTTACAGGGGATTATAGTTAAGAGATTACATGAATCTCAGAAGAGACTTTGGACTTTTAAACATTGTTGAGATTTTGATAGACTATGGGACTTTTGAAATTGGACTGAATGCATTTTGCACTATTGTATTGTTAAAGGTTTATGGGGGCCAGGGAGTGGAACGGAGTAGTTTGAATGTATTTTGCCACTATAAGCTCATAGGGAGTAGTACTATCAGAAAGTACTATTAGTATGGCATTATTGGAGGAAGCATGGTCTTGTTGGAGAAGGCTGGATGACACAACTTTAATCTGGGCCACACCTGTTGCTACTTGACCGCACATGCACTGTTCAGTAGTCAAGCAATGGGTCTTACATCCTACATAATCCATGTGCTGTGTGGTCACATAATTTGCACACAATGCAACCATGAAATCTATGCCCATGTGTGGCCTAGCTATGTGAGCCCTAAGTGCATGTGCAGGGGAATCCATAAAAATCAGGTCACAGACTCCTCCCCCCTTCTTCTTCCTCCTTCTCCTTCTTCCTATCCCTCTGCACATGTCTCTCAAACAGGCCTGAGCACACCCTTTCCTGTCCCTCCCTTGTAATAAACTCTCAAAGTGGGTTTTGTTGTGCCTCATGGCTTTTCTCTCATGGTAAACAGCGCCACATAATAATAAAACTAACAACATCTTCTGTTGGAGTGTGTGTCACTGTGGGGCAGGCTTGGAGGTCCTTTTCTCAAGCTTCACTCAGTGTGACAGTCGGTCGACTTCCTCTTGTCTCTGAGTCAAGATGTAAGGACTCTCAGCTCCAGCACCACATCTCCCTGCACACCACCATGCTCCCTGCCATGATGATCATTGACTGAAGCTCTGAAACTAAGCAAGACACCTCAATTAAATGTTGTCTTTATAAGAGTTGCTGTGATCATGGTGTCTCCTCACAGCAATAGAAACACAAACAAGACAAATTTCATCCAAGAACACAGAAGAATGAAATGTTACCTAGTAACAGGGACATTTGACTATCTGGACAGTCAACTTCTGTAATGTTGGAGCATCTAACTTTGGCCTACAGGCCTAGCATATCTAATAGACATTTTTCAGAAGCAGAGAATTTTCTCTTGGCAAAGTTTGGCAGTTGCTTTTGTGTGTGTGTCCTGTTAATCCAGTTTGGACTGTATACTGATAGCAATTGAGGCAAGGGGATTTTCTTTACCCAGTGGTTAGCTTTAGAGACAAAGAATGCAAACTCCTTATGGACATTCTTTGATGCCCATCATCTTCTCTGAAGTAGATTAGTGCTGCCAGGAACAGAAATGTCTCAGTGTTATGAAAAATTTTAGGCTAAAAATTAAACACATTAAATGTCATATTCTGTAGGTCTTTGAAGTGTTCAAGGACCATCTGTCTATCTAAATATATCTGTGTATGACCTTGAAAACACACCTAACGTGACCTATAAGACTGATTGTAATAGGTAGCTAACTATTAATCTGTATTTCATAATTACACATTGAATTTTTAAATGAGCTGTATAAACACAATTTCCCACAAAAGAGTAGCAACATAAATACAGTATAACAAAATTAACTTTAAATTTGTGTCCATAAACAAAAATCCATACCAATGTAAGATATTTTGAGACTAAAGGTTTCTTTTTTGGATATATACATGTGTGTGTGTGTGTGTGTGTGTGTGTGTGTGTGTGTGTGACTGTCTATATCCCTTTTCTTTTCTCTCCCAAGCCTTTGTACATTTTTAAACTCACTGTAATCTGTTTAGAGGTTTTTCTCCATCTGGATCTGCCTTTTATGAGGCTGAATATAGTGACCAATAAAGAGGATCTTGAGCGGCCAGTGTGGGTGGTTCATGCCTTTAATCTCCACACTTGGGAGTCAGGGGCAGGTGGCTATCAGTGGATTTGAGGCCAGTCTGGTCTGCAGAGCGAGTTCCAGGACAGCCAGGGCTACACAGAGAAACCCTGTCCAGGGAAAATAAATAAATATA